CGACCCGACCCGATGAAATTACACCTCTATCATATATATTGGATATCTAATGGTCTTCTATCCGAGACTTCTATTTCTTTAGTACTTTCTAAATTTATATTTTATTCCTTCTTTTAGCTCCTTATCAATTATGTTTTTCTTTTTGTTTTTTTTTTATCGTCATAGTCCTACATTTTAATTAATTTTACATTACTTCAATGTCGTATACTTGACTTAAATTTCATAATTTAATTAAAGGAATAAAATAATTTATAGAAATTAATAAATATCTATAAAGAGTGACTTAATGAATGTTAACATTAACATTGTGGTGTTCCAAAGCCTTTGAGTTCCCCACAGACTCATAAATATATATTCTATAGTTGAAATCTCACCGGCTACATCTAAATTCGATAATTTGATGAATTGAACAAAATATTTTATGAACATTAATTTATGGAAATTTTGGTGTTTGGATACTTGAAATAAAGTTTGTTTTAACTTTTAATGGGTTTGCTCATTGCTACTAACAGTGACTTAATATGAAAATGAAATTGAATATACAGAAACAAGAGGACCATCCTTATGAGTTTAGATTAGTAAAACTAAAAACAAGATAAATATAATATAGTCTTGGCATCAACTTGGTCCTCAAAATCCCATCCTTTGTTTGTAATTATAATTTATCTACCATTTTACTTAATTGGAACGTTTTTATATAGCCTCCTTCTTTTGTATGTCTCTCACGTACCCTTTTAATGAAATGATTTCTCCTTTAAAAAAAAAACTATTCTGGTGTTTGGATGATACATATTTAATTTTGGGATTTTTTTTCTTTCGAGTACAACATGTAGAGATGGGGGATCGAACTCACAACCTCATGGTTGAAGGTATATGCCAATTACCGTTGAGCTATGCTCACTTTGATGATGGATGGAAAATTAGGTCTTGGAAATGATAACCATTTTAATATATTCCATGTCCAAAGTTCAATAATTCAATATCCATAATAACTTAATTGATAAAGATGAATTTTGTAGAAAGATCTCATCTTAGAAAAAATCTCCATATATATATATAGTCAATAATGTCTGCCAATTGGTTCTTAATGGAAAAGTCTTCAAATGTTCTACCAACCAATATTGACTTTCTATGTTTAAAAAAGAAAAAAACCAATAATATTTACTTTCTGCTGGCTTCTGATATTGATGTAGAAATACATCAAAAGATTTTTGTTGCAATATGGACTCTCTTGGGCCTAATGATTTAGTACAACCAAGAAAAACATTATGTGATAGTTTAAGTGATGATATTACACCACATTCGTTTTATTAAAAGTATATTCCTATTACATACTACAATAAATTTGATTTTTCTAACGGAAACGTAAGTTAGCTTTCCTTATCATTAAACAAAATGTTATATATATATATGTATATGTATATAGTCTCAAGTTAAACTTGGACCGCCCCAAAAAATATCCTTGAGGTTTTAGATTCAAATTCATTCACTTGCTTGGTGACAAAATTTGAATTTTGTTACTATAAATTATTTCTGCTAATGCTTCTGAATTTCGTTGGAAATAATTTCATTAGATAAAATTAAAGTTCCTTAGTGACACGTGGTGTGAGCTCATGCCCTCCTGGTTAGATGCTAAAGTTGCAGGTACGTTCAACTTGTAAATTTTTGGCTAAGGCTTGACTGTGACACTAATCATCCAAATAAGTAAATACCAAATGAGTAAAGAAGCTACCGATTTGATAACCTAACTAATTCAATTTATGATTAAGGTTTCACTTAATATTGTAATATAACAATCTTTTATAGGATTTCTTTTAAATTACTACAAGCTTTTTAAGAGTTGGTAGACAGTCCTGATTTTATTCTTTTTAATATTTGTTTCTTGTTCGTTTACTAATTTCAAAAGATAATGTTTGGTGTTAGGTGATGAAAAACGATGTGACACGTGGACCAATAAAAATTGCTGGCTATAAACTGAGGTATAAAGCTTCAAACTCATTTTTCGAAGAGAAATATCTCGGCCTTAATTGGTAGCTTAGCTACGAAGTACCTCGACCTCAATTGATAGCTCGACTGTGTTAAGGAAGAGAACTAACAAAGGTTTATAATAGACATGAGTTACTTCTCTCATAGTTAAATAATTTTGAGATGGAATCCCATAGATATCGATATGGTATCGAAGTTCAACAAGTTCAAAGGACCATCCGATCAAAAAAATGGGATCGGAGCATGTTAAGCATTCCACGTTGAAAGACAAATTAAAATGTGGTGGTTACAAAATTTGAAGAAGATCTCACCAATTAATTCCAGTGAAATTTTGATTCGTGTTCATTGATTCTTGTCCCCGAAAGTAAACGGTTGTTAAATGAAATAATTAAAGTAGAGAGTGGAAAGGAGAAAGTATTGAAAATTAGAGAGATGAAGAGAGAGAAACAATATGAGGAAACTAATGGGAACAACCTCCAATTGATTTTGCAGTTCAATAACACAATTGCAACAGTACAGAATCATGATCGCTCAAATTAAACATGACAGAGTGATCAAAAGGGAAGTTTTTATTCTGCAGTAAACGTAGAAAAGGGGTAAAAAGACAAGACAGAAGCCATTGGGAACACATATAATTTGTTGATAGAGATGACAAACTTTTTGGGTTCAAACACAGGACCCATTGACACAATAGCATGGAGAGCATTCGGAGTCAGTTTTGCATGGCAATATCATAACAGGGCAGATTCTTTCAGGCGGTGGCGTGTTGTAATCCGACGCCGGCAGCTGAATCCCTTCCTCTACGGCGGCGGCCGCGGTGGCCGATTGACCCATAACCACCACCACAACCACCATAGCCAACAAAGCAACCTTCTTTCTCATCTCCATTATTTCTCTGATCTCTTTCTTTTTTATGGTTTTTTTTGCTTTTCTCAAGGCTTGTATTTATAGGAGCCAATGCATGAAATTTTGAACCAATGGATTTATCCATATTATTAATGCCTTTACGTGTCTTAGCTTATAATACGAACTAAAGGGCTTGTTCAGACTTCACACACATACGTGGTTGAATTTTTCTATGTTTTCTCCACGGGAGAAGATAATGTTAAAAACCTTGCTGTCAACGGCGAAAATTTAGTTTATAAATTCAGAACCTTGATCTACACGCCAAATTGATATAATCTTAATAATAGTTGAATAAAAGTTTTGTAATAGGGTAAACAAAAGTCAAATTTTTAGAGTTTTTTAGGTGAAATTCATTCAATTTTTTTTAGGTTCCATTCAATTTGTTTTTAGTTTGGGGAGGTTAAAAATATTAATAACTTACTCTATAGTTTCCACTAGAAGAAGGGTTTGAACGTTCGACCTTGTGGTTAAGGGCTCACACGCTCTAACCAATTGAGCTATTCCAGCTTTCACATTTATAAATTATTTTTTTAATTAATTGTTTCTATTAATTTTTTCTTTACCTCTATTATATGCTTAGTAATAGGTCTTAGGGGTGTACACTGGTCAGTCGGATTGGTTTTCAGGCTGAAATTCCTGCTAACTGATATATGGTCGGTTTGCAAAAATGGAAATCGATCGACCGAATAGATAATTTTCCGCTGACCAAATTTTTGTTGGTTTGGTCGATCAGTTTTCGAGAAACCGACTTTTTTTTTCTCACAAACTGTGAAGGGCTGGGTTGCGACAATAACGAGTGGGACTCAACGATGTTGAACGGAGGGGTTGGGTTGTAGCGTAAATCGAGCAATGGAGGTTGGGTGCAATTCGGAGAGGGAGTGAGAGAGTGAGGGAGAAAGAGTGGGAGAGGAGGGGAGATGGAGATGGGAGTGAGAAGATGGAAGCTGAGAGATAGAGATGGAATCATGAAACCCTAAATTAAAGTTAAAAAGAGAGAATCTGAATCAATCAAGGAAAATTAAAGAAAAAAATGAAATGGAGGGAAACGAAGAGGGAGAAATAGACGAAAATCTAGGAGTAATTAATGAGATCGAAAGGGAGAGAAAAGGAAGGAGAGAAATGTATCATAAATTAATTAATAAAAAATAAAAGAGATGGAATCAACTGTAAAAAATGTTTTTTTTTTTGCATATATATCGGTTGATTTTAGACATATTTTTAGTAACCAACTGATGATTGGTTGACTTTGTAAAGACCAAACCCACCGACCATCTATTTTGTGTAAAAATCGATCGACTGCTGTCGGTTCGTCTTCTCACCCACATCGGTGCACTCCTGATAGATCTTACTCTCTAATTTTATTAAATTAATTCTTTTTTTTTGGGAGGAAGATTTTCCTCTCGACTTAAAACATATATCCTATGTCATTGCGTTGGGTCTCTAGCATTTGAAAATAAAATTTTTACTTTATTTTTTTTCTCACTTCTTTCTTTTGGCAAAAAATAAAGTGCAGAAATATATGAATACACCAAGAATTTAAATTAATATAAGAAAGAAGAAACTTCTAATTTATTCCATTCCAAAATTGACCCCTTTCCCTCCATTTAATCCCAAAGATTTGTTTGAGAAGAGTAGGTGACACAAAGAGTCAAACATTATCTCCATGGCAAATGGAAAAAAAGATGGGAGAAAGAAAATCAAATGTGGTGTCTTCTATTTGAGTAAATTAAAGTTGGAGTAGCAAACTATCCTTTTCCTTTTTGATGTTTGTGCCAAACAGCTTGCAAAACCCTTGACCCAAATCTATAAATAATGCAAGAATGAGATTGCAAAGTTCGAGATGATTATGAAAAGAGGATTATAAATACTTGCAATCACAGCCAGCCAAGAAGAGGCTTTTGGTAGTCAGCTTCTAGACAATGAAACACATCGTTTAAAACACTTTACATCATAAAATGAAAGAGATTATTTTAAGATGGTAGAAAAGTTGATTTTTTTTCTTCTTTTTTATAGAAACTGCGTATACATATCTGTGAGCGTTCAAACCAACTTGTGTGTATTATTGCTGTTTACTATTTTTCAATGAGCCCTAGATAAGCTTATATTGACTTTTTGGCCACAATTTTTGTAGTGATGTATACAATTTTGTGTATTACTTAGTCTTTGCGTTGAATTAGTGGCCGCCCCCAAGAGTTGATGCCTCCACCATCAGGGCACAGCATTAGCCAAAAGCCAATCCAATTACATTTAAATTTACACAAAAGCCCCCAATCAATTTCACCCGAAAGACATTTCCTTCACAAAATACAAAGGATATAAACGAGATTTCACATTCATTTCCACCATCAATATCTTCCAACCCACTTCCATAATTCTACTATAAAACCAACCATTGATTATGAATTTGTGTATATGCTTTCATTTTCTCTCTAAAACAAACAAGCTTTTGTACAGATCTTGAAAGAAGAAGCTGAAAATTTATGATGGAGGGCTTAATTCCATATCTTCTCCATGCCCTTAAGAAGCAAAAGCCACAACACAACTATAGAAGCCAGTCCATAGGTTCAAGTAGGAGCTACCATCTCCTGAATGCCGAGTCGTCTCACCGGCGAACTCGATCGGATTTTCAGCCTCCAACGTTCGAGTTCCCGGAGCAGCGATCGGCGAACGAGTTGACGCATTCCCGCAGCGTTAGCAAGGGCTTTGGATCATCTTCCAGACCTAGCTATGGGTTTGAATCTGGCTTATCTTCCTATCCTGGCAAGGTTTCAAGTAAGGCTACTTATTATGGTAATCCTCCTCGCTGAGAAAACGGGCAAAGTGGGAAGGATTATTCATAAGTTTCAAGTGAAAAAGTTTACTGATTTGTGAGATTTTTTTTTTCTTTTCTTCAAATTTGTTTGATTGTATTTTGGGGTGAAGATATTAATGTGTAAAGAGGTGGGTCTCCAAGAAATTAATTGGTGGGCGGCCATCTTTTTAGACTTTGAAAGTTGTACATTGAATTATTGTAGGAATATTCTTTTTCTTTCATATAGTTTTAATAATAATGAAGTCTAAATTTGTATAACTATGCGTTGGAATATCTTGGCGTAATTGTAAGTCTTTGGTTTAGATTATATTGATAAATAAATTGTAGGAATTATCTATGATAGCTTAAAATTTCTATTTGTTGAACTAATTGTGTATAATGTGAGAGGCGAATTTCTTAATATAAATTATTAAGGGTCTTGAATATGATAAACACAAGCACGTTTTGATGACTAAATTTTAGTTTATGCGTAAGGTGTTTTAAAAATTTAGAGAGAGAAAATGTGAAAATTTAGAGAAGATATAATTAAATATATGTTGAAATATGTATAAATGGAGAAAAGAAAAATTATATTTCTAGAGATAGAAATAAAAGTGGGAGAGAGAAATGATAGGGAAAGAGAGAGAAAATTAAGAAAGAGAGAAGTTACCGAGAAATTTTGGAGAATGACAAGATAAGGAGAAAAAAGGACCATTTCAAGCGTGAAAAAGTTTAAAAAAGAAAAAAATTGACAACGGTACCTTAAATATCTCTACAACCGTATAATATTGTCCGCTTTAGATATAATCCTCGTACCTTTGTTTTTTGTTTCATCAAAAGGCTTTGTCCCATATCATTCTCCTTACAAATTCAATTAATATATTTGTTAAGATATCAATTTTTTCTTTTTATATCTATAAGTGTTCGGGTCAGGTTACTAATCTCACGGGACAACTGTCATGGAATTTGAATTCATTTCCTCTTAATTAATTATAGTCCATTTAGACCAATGAACCAATAAACTTTAAAGTAAAATTAAAAATTTCTTCGAGAGTTGAAATTGTGATGGTAAGTTCGAAACCCTCCTCCATAGGTTAGGTTGTAATATGATATGAATTATATTCTCTGCCGTTATCAAATTGAAAAAGAAAAAAAAAAAAGAAAAACAGCCATGATCGACGGAAAAGGAGACACGTGTCCCACCAACTAATGAAGTGGCGAGCCAAGGGAGAGGCATTTGGCTGGCATGCATCAGCTTCCATGTCAGTATATTATAGGTTAAATCTTTATCGCACTTAGAAATTTTAGTCTCGTTTTATTGCCAACATCAACGTAGTTTAACTAATTTATTTTCCATAGACTAGAAGACTAAATTTGATGTTCTGATAAATATTTTTGATATAACTTAATGAATAAAATACAACTAAATTAAACACAACCCTCCTCTCATTTATGCACCAACACAAGCTTTGTTACAGAAATTGGTCATTATTCTCATGAGAGAGAGATTTTATTGTATGGCAGAGAGAACCAAAAGAACATAGAATTTTAGACCCAATCTCCGCAGTGGCCGGCGGTGTAGCAAGCACAGTTGGAAGGGCAATCCTTGTGAGATCTGCAAGGCTTACCTCTAACAAGACACACTCCATTCCCTCCATTTTTCAGCATAACTTTTCTCGGAAAAGCGTCGGCGCCGCCTCCGGCCACCAGCTCGGCCGCCACATTCTCGAGGTATGCGGTCGCCGGAGTAGCAGTCATAAACATCACCACCACCACCGCCACCAAGCTCATATTCTTCCGAGCTCTCTCCATTTTCTTATCTGCTTTCCTCTCTTGGCTCTATGATTTGTTTTGCATTTTTGTTTTTCTATTTATAGAGAGGAAACGTTATTGGGTGTTAAGTATTTTCTAGATAAATATTCGTATTTTTCTAAAATATTTTTATTTAGTAGTTGAGTGGCTTAATTTTAATTTTGAAGTTTTTTTCCACATTCAACTTTGAATGTAATGAAATTCCAAGGTTGGGAAATAGCAGGATATATATAAAGAGAATTATTCCTCTTCCTCATCTCGAGTATCAACATAAGAAAAAATAGATCAATTTCCACACTCGCGGCCTGGATATTTGTGCTTTCAAAATTAAATATTTTTTTGAAAATAAAATGTGTCCTACATGAGTACATAGTTTACAACATTTCAAACAAGAACAAATTGAAAATGTAATTCTTTCAAAATATATATAATAAATTCAAATTTTGACTAAAAAAATCTTCCATCCTAAAATATCCTAATTTGTATGGAATAATAGTTTATTATTATTTTTAAATAATAAGTGAATGCAAATAGAATGACCATTTTATAAGACGCTTGATGATACTTTGTTCAAAGCAGAATAGTAGAGAATGCAATCGAAAAATCCTACCTACTACCATGGTGTTTTTAAATTTATTAAAATTTGTCAATTAGGTCATCGCATAAATTTATGGTATTTTTAAATATTACCTACAATACTATTTAGCTAAGCCGTTAACACATTCATAACTTTGATTCGATTCCTTAAAATTTTCCCTCTCATATAATTATAATATTATAATTATAAAAATAATATATTCTACCCTAGAGTCAAAATATATATAATTCTTTGTAGTGGAAGAATTTTTTTAAAGAATTAACATTTATATATAAATAACAATGTATTTTCTTTTCTCAATCTTCT